CACGTGAGCCTCCACCGGGGCGGCGGGGGAAGCCAGCTGGCCTCCCCTGGCCCACACCTCCTCGCTTTTTTGGTTGGAAAACCAGGCATTTCTGTTGCTTCTTCCAGTGGACATCAAAGTGCTGCAAAGCGCCCTGGCTGCCATCAGACACGCTCGCTGGTTCGAGGAGAACGCTTCGCAGTCCACGTGAGTTTGGCCCCGAGCAGGAGCTGCAGCTCTGCAGCCTGGTGGGAATGATCCTCCCAGGGAGCAGGGGGAAGCGGGGGGCACGGTTTGGGGGGCGTGCTGCGTTACAAACCCTCCTCCTGCCGTCTCCTCCAGGGTGAAGGTCTTAATCCGGCTGCTGAAAGACCTGAGAATTCGATTCCCTGGCTTTGAGCCCCTCACGCCCTGGATTCTGGACCTGCTGGTGAGCGCACGAGGGGCGGCGCTGACGGCGTGCCAGAGCCGACTTGTAGCTGCCTGCACGTCCTTGGGCTCCGGCAGGAGTCGGGATTACGCCTCCCCTGCGGGAAGCCGCTCTCGCCCTGACTCCCTCTTTCTCTGTTCACCTCTTTCAGGGGCACTATGCGGTGATGAACAACCCCACCAGGCAGCCCCTGGCCCTCAACATCGCCTACAGGTCTGTTGCCGTTCGCTTCACTCACAGAAATTCCTGTCACTATCTCGGTTTTGGACATATCCAGTGAAAAAAAGCGGCATCTCGGGGCTTCAGGGCACCTGAACTGGAGACTCCTCACGTCGATGTGCGAATTACAGACGTTCTGGCTGCGTTTCTGTGCTGGAACCGTCTAGTTTTCTAACCCAAAACATCTTGTCCCCATAGGCGCTGCCTTCAGATCCTGGCAGCGGGGCTCTTCCTCCCTGGATCCGTTGGGATCACCGATCCCTGCGAGAGCGGCAACTTCCGTGTCCACACGGTGATGACCCTCGAACAGCAGGTGAGCTGCCCCGTGCGCCGCGGGGGGAGGGGACGGGGTCCTGCCCCCGCCCTGACTCTCCCCCGCCCCCCAGGACATGGTGTGCTACACGGCGCAGACGCTCGTCCGGATTCTCTCGCACGGAGGCTACAGGAAAATCCTGGGCCAAGAGGGCGACGCCAGCTGTAAGCGGGGTCGGGGCGACGCGGGGGG